CGTCTGAAGGGATTTGGCGCCGGCTGACCTCTAGTATGCAGTCAGTGCGACTACGGTGAGGCTGCCGACAAAAAACGCAGACGGTCTCTTTCCCATTCTTGTGTTTTTTCGTCTATTGCCATGTATTCAGGGGCAAGGTCGCTCGGAGATCGGCATTACCCCTGACTCTCCTGTTTTCCGGGCTTTCTCACCTTCGAGGCTTTAGGCCCGGAAGCATCAAAGGAATTGTTTGGTAATAAAAGGTCTTTGTTCACTTTAGTCTAGTGGAAATCGTAATTTATTTTTATGTTTGCTATGTTGAAAGGACTAAGGGTGTGGGGAAGTGGGGGTATATAGAATGGAGAATGTTCTCAAGATTTTATTCTTTTGTTAGTCTACATTCACGGGACGTTGCTGTGAGTGTTAAGTGTGCGCCTGATTGTATGTGGGTGTGGATATGGCGGGTTTGCATATTTTCTTTTTTAATAGATTTTTTTCATGTTTTTTTGGCGGAAAACTCTGCCATGCTGCTTGAGTTTTGTCGGTTTTTTCAGACCACTGTAAAACCACGCACAATAAAGACCTGAGTGAGTTTCAACATGCATTCGATGCAGCTTTTCCTTCTCTTTCTTATGGATGCACTTTCATACCATAATGTTATATGCTTTCTTTGGTAATTGCCGAAATTCTACATCTGTCAATTTTACCTGCTCAAATTTGAGCTAATTTTTAAAAATTTCGTTACAAAGTTTCGAAAAAGATCAAGTATGTGTCAAATAGAGTAAATCTCGGGCTACAAGATGGTATTTTTAGATTCTCCTAATTTGCTGATTTTGACTTCAAAAAATTATTTCTTCTGAGGTCTCGATTTTTGGTTAAGTCATGGAACGCGCAATTGCAGCAAAAGCATGAAAGCTTTCAAAGTTTAGGCGAATTCAAACTTGATTGTTATTAAACATCATTTATGCAACATAAGCAAGTTTGATTTGTCCCAAAGATCAGCTTTTTGGAATTTTCGGTAATTTTACGTAGTAAAATGTGTACGAAATGTCGCGGTTTTTCTCCAAATAATTATTTTATAACGGTTTTTCTCTAAATAATTATTATGGATTTGATAAACATGGCCCACGTAATCTAAAATAGCCACAATGTAGCCAAAGGTTTGCTCTACATAATAGTCACCAGCGCTCGTCGAAAATATCAAGATAAAAATTTTGAAAATTTAGGAAAGTTTTGGCGTTACTGCTGAGGGTGCTCAAAAAGCCATGGCGATAACATCGCAAAGACGGAGTAGATCAGGGAATAAATATAGCTATAAGAAAGAGGATAAAAATGTGACTAGAACGACACCTAAGCCGTTCATGGAATGGTGTTCTGTGAGGTTTGGTGAGCGATGAAAAAAAAACCAACAAAACTTTTGGGACAACCTAATATGTGACATTTTCGACCTTAGCGCTGTTTGCTATGTCCTCAAATTTTTAAGTTATGGGTGAATCCGCATGTCAGTTTGATAGCACTTTTTCACATGATTGCCTGTTGTGAACCTTTTTTCATTTGAGTGCCTTTCCACACTGAATTTTTTTTGCTGTTTTTGCTTTTTGATGTAACTCAAGAGCATGATCCCATTGGAGCAAACTTTATTTGGCTTTGTCTGAATCGAAATCGTACCGTAGATGTTTTTGAGCTATTAAATTTCTTGTTCGTTGTTTTTGTCTCTACTTATTGCTTATAATGATTCATATTCATAATCTTAGTTTTTTAGAACTTTGTTTTCAAAAATGTTTTTATCAATAAACCTCGCACAAACATTTATATAACAAGCTCAAACCAAATGAATCAATAACAATTACTTTACAATACGAAGTAGAACATTAGATTACATATGTTACGAAATGATTACATGCAAGCTACTATTAATCACAAATGCCGGCGCAGACTTCTGACGAATGAGTGCAAACCGCTAGTTACGCTCAGGTTCCTTTGGAAATAGACGTTTAAGGTCATTATTATTATGTTACTAGCTGGCTTACCCGGCTCCGCCGTATCCGGACCAAACTTGGCACACATACACTTCGGGCCCCGGCGGGTGTCACAGTCCACTTTTCGTTATCGATCGATGTCGATTTTACCGATTTTTATCGATTTTTTTGCAGAGTTCACCTACAGGGCTAGGAGTTGGCACAGGGGGGAAGTGAGCATGGGGATTCCGAACACAATATTAGTTTTCAGAATTATCGATTACTTTTATTGATTTTATCGATTTTTTTTGCAAAGTTTGACATGCGAGGCTGGAATTTTGCACAGGGGGGTAATCGAGCATGCTGATTACGAACACAATATTAGTTTTCAGGATCGTCCATTACTTTTATCGATTTTACCGATTTCTTTTGTAAAGTTTGAGCTACGGGGCTGGGATTTTGCACAGGGGGGTAATCGAGCATGCTGATTACGAACACAATATTAGTTTTCAGGATCGTCCATTACTTTTATCGATTTTATCGATTTTTTGAAAATTTGAGCTAGGGGGCTGGAATTTGGCACAGGGGCGTAATCGAGCATGCTGATCACCCCCCTTGGGATGATCAGCATGCTCGATTACCCCCCTGTGCCAACTCCCAGCCCCCCTAGCTCAAACTTTGCAAAAAAATCGATAAAATCGATAAAAGTAATCGATAATCCCGAAAACCAATATTGTATTCGGAATCCCCATGCTCGATTACCCCCCTGTGCGAACTCCCAGCCCCGTAGCTCAAACTTTGCAAAAAAATCGATAAAATCGATAAAAGTAATCGATAATCCTGAAAACCAATATTGTATTCGGAATCCCCATGCTCGATTACCCCCCTGTGCCAACTCCCAGCCCCGTAGCTCAAACTTTGCAAAAAAATCGATAAAATCGATAAAAGTAATCGATAATCCTGAAAACCAATATTGTATTCGGAATCCCCATGCTCGATTACCCCCCTGTGCAAACTCCCAGCCCCGTAGGTGAACTCAGCAAAAAAATCGATAAAAATCGATAAAATCGATATCGATCGATGACGAAAAGTAGCCTATGACACCCGCCGGGGCCCGTAGTGTATGTGTGCCAAGTTTGGTCCGGATCGGTTCAGAAATGGAATTTTCTATTCGGAACATACGTACACACAGACAGACATACAGACAGACAGACAGACAGACAGACAGACAGACAAACAGACATTCAGCTTTATATATAAGATAAAGAACTGCGTCTGCTGTAAAAATTTAGGACGCTTTGGAACCACGGATCATTTCTTCAAAAATGCAAAGTTTCTCTTCCATTTTTCAATGTGCGTTCGACAATAACAATAGTACTGGCAATGGTACTCTCGGCCAGAATGTGGCGGCTTCTGTCATTGTATGCAGCTTCCATCGATGGCGCGCCATTGATGTAGGAAAACGATAGCGTCCCAGCGAAGGAGGCGCCGCTCGGTCGACAAAACTCCTCGCCCCCAAATTGACAGCCTGTAACTGCCGATTTGGGGGGTTGTTAAGCCCGTGCACGACTCGTTCCTTGTTGTACATCGTCATTTGGCTGACAACGATGATATCAGCAGGGTAAAGCGAGGGGTGTGGCACGCCACACCAGGGGGTCATATCGGCTGGGGTAGCTAAGGGGGGGGGTCGTATTGACCTAGGGTCAAAAGCGGAAAGCTGACTGACTAAATATTTGAAGACAGCACACCTCAAAAGCTGTTAGTTAATTAACTCCAATGACTGTTAGATAGTTCGTAGATAGCTTCTAGACTAATTCTAATAACTGCTTCATTATGATGCAATGCATCCTGCATAAGACAAACACATTTAACGACACCGATTTTCAATATCGTACACCTACCGTATACCTGAAAAAAAGCCCTATCACGCTAAGCAAGTATTATCGCAATCAGCATGTCAGATAACCCCTATGCGCCAAGTTTCACCGAACTCTGAGGTTTCCAAGTAGTAAACAAGCTTATATGAAACAAGAAATTCAAACACGATTAACTTTATTTTAAAGATGAGTAAGCTACCTCTTTGCACTCAATACAAAGCACTACCCCTTCGTTTTTTGCATGAGAAATCCCACTTCAAGAAACCTCCAAACTGTGGAATTAGAAGACTGCCAACTCCCGCCTTCAAATTTCAATGGTTGCGCTTTCATCAATTATTATTTATGCTGAAGAAAAACAATCAGGCTCAAAATTCTGCTATGTGTAGTACGAGGTCTCAACTCCCAAACCATGTATAAAAAGTTTGAAAAAAATCCCTTTAAAGGTAAGTTAATGGGCAGGGTGTGGCACCCCCCCCCCCTCAAAAGCTGTGGCTGCCATTCAAAGGGGGGGGGGTGCCACACCCTGCCCATTAACTAACTTACCTTTAAGAAGCTCAAATGAATGCGTCATCCTTCCCCTCTTCAGTGTAGCATTTGCCCCCCAAAACGTGTCCTCTGGGAAAAAATACAGCGGATTTTGTGAACCCTATGCGCCGAAGTACGTCTCTGAAAAGCTTTGATATTGGGGTACGGTAATGCTCGAAAAATTGCGAACACACCAAGGCGCGAGCGACGAGGCTTTGAAATCCGCATTCTTCCGAACCAGTCTCACATGATTTTCGTTTTGATTTTCACTCTCATTACTCTTGTTCTACTCTACTGCTACTCTCTACTTTGTTCTTCTCTACTCTATACTCTTTGCAGATTGCGACTTCGGCTGAAACTGCTTTATTGTCAGGTTAATGAGCAGGCTTGTGGTGCTTCTTACCAACTGCGGAGCATCAACGGAGGCATCATTGAGAGCAGAAATGGTAAAACAATGAGTATTTTGTTTATCTATTGTTCATCTATCTATTAATCTTATAGGTGAACACTTTGGCTAGTGCACCACAAACTCACTCTAATTTGCGTTCTTCATTGCCGAAAAAGGAAGCAGGGGTGGCGAAGTTGTTGATCCACTGTTTGGGAGAGTGCTAAATGAAGTGAGTCTTTCTATATTGCTAATACTTGGTCTTATTTATGCCCTATGCAGATTGCGGACTTCGCTGAGCCTATTGCCGTGCCTGGTGGTCAGATGAAACAAGGATCATACCAGCTCAAATCTGATGTAAAAAAATAATTCTTTGGAACAAACATTTAGTTTATAACATCTGTTAATGATTCTCCAGGTGAGGGTCAACGTTTTGCCCAGTACTATGTCAGCATCGCGCGCTTTCACCGAAGTCCAGTGCTACCACCCTGATGAATGTAGAGAAGATGTAAATCAATTTTTTTTCTTTCCATGTCAAAATTTGCGTGTTGAACTTGCTCTGTAGTCTACTCTCGCAGTCTCTACTCTCACATTGCCAAAGTTCTTCTCAATGATCGTTTTGTACAGCTTTCTATCGTTGTTCTGGAAGCGGTAAGAGTTGTAAGGCACTAATGAACAAGGTGTCAAAATATCTGTTTAGGGCATTGAAGACCTGAGATTCGAGAAACTACCACTCAACTAGTCATCTATCTGCTGTCATTGGCGTACCAATACATGGCTACGTTGCCCCCATCTGAAAAATATCCATTATTGGTGGAGCTGCTGAATATCTGGGTCGACTCTTAGCCTGATTAGTAAATGGTGAGCTTTGTATAGCGGATCCCACATATGTGTGCTGGTCATTTCACAGTTCACTTACGAACTCTTCAAATTGATTACAGTGACGATGGAATTCAGCTGTTATTGTTGTCTGCGCTCGATGACTGCACGAAAGAAAAGGAAGTTGAGCTAAGGCTAGATGGCAGTGATCAAAAAGCTGTCCAGGTTCGTAGTATAATCAGTGTTGCTGCACGACTCAGAAGATCTGTATAAAAATTTGTTTTGTAGAAAAGAAAGGCGGCTGCTAAACGAAGACGTGAAGTTTTGTTTGCGGTGAATAAGAAGAATCGGAAGTCATGAAGAGGCTGATGGAGAAAAAGGGCATGACACAGAAGGATATCGACTTGATTGACACCACTCAGGTTAGTGGTGTAAGTTGACTAGACTAGCAAGACGATCATGTTTGGCATTGATAGCGTTATTTACTTTCTCTTCTGTTCTTTTCTCTTTTTTTTGATATCCTCATGGTCTCGAAGAAACTTCATTTTGTTTTAATCAAATCGATAAGATGAGACCGCATCAGCTGGAAAGATGTTTTTTTTTCAACCATGCAAGCAGTTTAGACCACTTATAACTTTCGTACATTAAGTTGTTGTTTTTTAATAAAGTTGAAATCTAATCCCGGTGTGAGATCTCAAGAGTTCTCAAAGTTGAGAGTTCAGCGGGGGAGGGGGGTCGTGCAGGGGTCAGGCCCAAGTGAGGGGGATCGTATCCGACGGTTGTGTGCCACACCCCCGCTTTATCCTGAATATCAGCCACAGCCTCCTGGCGGGCTTGGTTGCAAGATACCGGGGGCTATCACCACCCAAACGCATACGCGTTAAATATTAGGTTGGAAACCAAGTCAGTTTTGCAATTACTTTCATAATTCAACTTTGTTTGGATGTGTGGCGCACTCAAACTTTAGCAGTATGTGGGCCGTAATGTGAGCTACAAATCCCCATAAACAGTCTGAATCTTGAAAACGAATTAGAAAAAATTCAGGCATTTTCTAAAATCTAGTGAATCTTGAGGATTTTTGAATAATCCGAAATGAAGTCGTTAGGCCTCGGACAGAGTTTGCGCGATTTGATCTTCGCGATCAATCGCCGCGATTTCCATTCATTTTCATTTCATCTTTAAAAATTTCGGGCTGGAAAAGTATCACAACCGAAGTGCAAGCTGGTCGGCACGCAATAAACTCGTAAAAGTTGTCTTGTCGCGATTGAATCGCGACGATCAAATCGCGTGAACTCTGACCGAGGCCTTAGGCAGGCGCTATACTCCTCGAGGAGTATAGCATGGGATCGATTTGCATTAAATACGTGTAAAACCGGCGATTTTTGTCGCCGATATTGGCGATCGCCCGTCGTAGCTGGAAATATCGGCGACTACACGTTTCATTATCCATTTGACGCGTGGTAACTTGTTTGGCGATTGGCGATCGCCCGTCGCCGATATTAGCGACTGGCGATCGCCAATCGCCAAACAAGTTACCACAAGTCAAATCGATACATATCAAACGTGTAGTCGCCGATATTGGCGATTGCCAGTCGTTACGACGGGCGATCGCCAGTCGCCAGTGTTGGCGACTACACATTAAATGTGTATCGATTGGACGTGTGGTAACTTGTTAGCGATCGATACGCATAGAAGACACAGTCGCCAGTATTGGCACTGGCGATCGCCCGTCGTAGCGACTGGCGATCGCCCCTCGCCATGCTATACTCCTCGAGGAGTATAGCGCCTGCCTTAGCAGCCTAGACCATGCGCAATAATCCGGATTCGTGAAAAAATTGTTGCTAGAGATGACTCATTCGTCTCACCAAGAAAGAAAGAAAATTCAAGGGGCAAGTCGAGCTTTGGCGCCCTCACAAATTCGGACAAGTGGCTGTACGCAAGGCTGCTGGGGACAACCGTCAATGACTATGAAGTGAACCACAAATTCCCCGAGCCTTTACATATCTAGGTTCTTTGATCTGCTAAACACGAATGTCATATTCATTTGTTGAATCAACGCCTTTTATTTTGTTTAGAATGAGACCCGACTGTTGAATTTTATAATTTTTCTTTTCATAACATATACCTACCATAACCCTCACTGCGACAGAATTCAGGAGAAAGCAGCTGAGCTTGTAGCTTACATCATAACCAACATGTCGGCAAAATTTGAGTGCGCCATGCTGAGTGGAAAGTTACAACCTAATAATGCAAAGTTTTCCGAGCACAGCCGTTGCGTTATCAAATACACCTCTATGATATGACTAGCGCGTACGCGTGTAATACTGCGCATGCAACAGCCCCTGCACGCCTACAGATCCAGTAAACTTTGTTTTAATAAGTAATAAGTAACGAAGCTGTAGTCTTACCTTATTTTCCCAATCGGCGGACCAATTTAGAGTCTGACGGTCCTCAATGACCGGTGCATTAATTAGACAGAACTTTACGTGATTCTCCTTCTCGAAACTTCCGCGCCAACATCCGCTGATTTTGGTTCTAGCCGAAGTGCTAATTATAGCAAATGGTGGCGTTATCTTCTTGGATCCTTCTACGAACACAAGCATGACTCTGCAAAATACAGTCTGCCCCAATCCTAACCAGGCTGAAATTGGCATGGAGAAAACCCGTGTCGCGAGGATATTGTGTCACGTCTACGGCTGGCTAGTCTGCTCTCTCCTTAATCTCTTCGCTCTCTTCGACAGCGCGCGTATGCCGAGCAAATCCTTAGCTTTGCGAGCGCGCAAATTCAGCCGTCGGTTCGGCCTGATCCCAAGTGGGCAGACTGTAGGATGGGGAGCCTCTTGATGGGGCTGTTTTATAGAACAACAATAACTCACAGAAAGTGAACAGCATGACGCGCGCAAATGAACTCAGCCTTATATAGGATTTCACTGATTGATGTCGTGATCGAGGATAAAGAACTAAGGGCCCTTGTGACGTGGAGCAGGCTTGATGTCTCTTGCTGAAATTTTGTTTATATTTGTTTTTTGTCATCGAACAGCAGTTTTATAAGAAATTGTTGTTTTTTGTTGTGTATAAACTCTGCGGCTTCCCATTCCATTTCGAAATACTTCAGATGCGACATCAAACTCGAAATTAACATGTGCCGGGCCTTGGCCAAGCTCAAGCAATAATCTGTCAGCTTTGGCTCCATCTTCATTTTTGCTTGTGACCCACTAAAACCTTAGATTTCAGCAGCTCACGAAAAAATGCCTGATAGCTTGTACCAAGAGAGATGTTTAGAACTTTTCAAAACATGAAGCGTTAGAATTACTCATTCAAAACAATTCTAGCTTGCTGCATACGCTCTTACATAGAAGAATTATTGGCAATTAACTAAACCGAGAATCTCGGAACCCTGTACATAAGACATATATATGAAAAGCTTTATACATGAGATATTCGGCTTTAAACATGAGATTTAATCCACATAGAGACAGCTTATTTCATATATACAGAAGAATGATAGTCAAGTGCACCTTTACTCTGGAACCATGGACGAGGTGGATAGACTTTTCTCGAATTGATCGCTCTTACATTTTTCAGTCTAAAAGCATGGAAAAAAATTTTAGTTTTCATAATAGAGTGTAGAAAGAGAGTGATAAAAGTTGGAAATAAAAACAGGAGTCCAACAATTTTTCAATGAGCATTTGTGTTTCACTGTGGTTTAAACCAAACTTTTGATCATCTCGAGAGTTGACCATCCAAGAAAATCTGAATTACCCACCTTGACTCGAGATCGCTATAAAATGATTCGATGTAGTCCGCCATGAATTCGAAGAACACATCTTCGTAGAATAATTCTTGCATTGAAAACCTCAAAAAGTCTTTTCAAGGTGGAGATTAGAAATAGAAAACTTACCTGAGCAAACTGATCATCTCATCTAAGCGTTGTAAGTAGTTTTCGTACATATTCTCAAACTTTCTTATCCCATATGAACTGCTAGCATTCAACTGCACTTGATATGGTTGAAGGTATTCCGCCTCTCTAAGAGTTGTGCGGCTGTTTGACTGCACAAAAGAAAAGATTGCAAAATTACTCGCTAGTCATTGCATTATCGTGCTGCTGCTTTATAAGCATGAAATCTCTAATCACATCCCTGACTTCGTGACCTGAATACACAAAATAAGTCAGTTGTAAATGAAAGAGGCTGAAGCGCTAAGGCCCCGGCCAGACTTTGCTCAAAAGTGCCCAAAAAGGCCCAAATTTCTCTAACCTCTCTTCACTTACTCGTGTGAGGAGAAATAGAGAAAGTGAAGAGAGGTTAGAGGAATTTGGGCGCTTTTGGGCGCTTTTGAGCGCTTTTGAACGAAGTCTGGCGGGGGCCTAAGTAAAAAGTCCGCTTAGCTCAGAAGTTGAGGACAGCGCGCAATTGCAAGCGCGTAAAACTGGAGTAGGCAAAGATACAGAACAGAAAGACATGCATGAGTCCTACCACGGTGTGTTGCAATCTTAGTTGAATAGAATAGAAGTGTTCTTTTACTTTTCGACATTTTTCGTTATAGAAACTTGATGAAAATAAACTCAATATGAACTGTAAATTAGTTTCAATAGTATGTTTAAATGAAATAATTTGATATCTGTGTAAGAATAGGAAACCCACCAGGGAAACTGCATTGGTCTTGCCCGTTCGTTAAATTGCTGACAGTGGTCCCGTTTGGACATTTTAATGTTCGTAGAATCCCACCCAGATCATCTTCTGTAAGGAAATCTAAACGATCAATAACATGCTGCTCTGCTGATGCAAAAGTAACAAGCGCTTCGCAAATCTTAAGTTTGACTGCCATAACTTGTTCGTAATCTTTACTTCGGTTTGTTTTCACGGATTTCTTGTGGTAACCAACATTCGTACTGGCCTCACCTTAGCGCTTCCGTCTCCAGAGGAAACATCTAAAAACAACTCAGGGCTTCATCGCAACCAGCAACCAACCTTCAACCGTCACGTACCTGTGACTCTCAAGGTTAGACCAGACTGCGCGGCATACTCCACATATGCAGCGTACGCTCCATATCTTCATGCACTTGTGCATACGCTGCCGTACGCAGAACAGATTGGCCCAACCCTCATCTAGTTTCTGTTAAATCTCAATCACGTCGTAATGCCAAGACAATGTTATTTTTATAGTTAACTGTGCGCAATCGCCATGCCTGAGCATCGGCGAGCGTGTCCCTTGCGGGCACACATTGGCATTCGCACGCAAGTCTTTATAGTCCCGTACTCGGCCGTCCCGCTGCAGACACGCTCGCGAACGTTCTGCCTACAGTGATATGGGCGATTTCGGTGCAGTCGACTTTATAACGTCGTTGCCGTAGTTGTCCAGAGGTGACAGAAATTCAAGTATTAGGTTGTCCGGAAATTAATGCAGGTTTTGATTTCCAACCGCAATAAGTCATACATTCCTCATTTTTGAATAGGTTGCAAGGTACTGTTCGATAAAGCAAAGCAAGCTCTACAAGACGGCTTTCTTGCTTTAGCAACAGCTCTGACCCACCACGAGTTTCGAGCCAAAAACTAAAAAGATTCAACTGCCCGAAAAATTGAGAAAAATCGTAACTCAGCTCGTAAAAGCCCTACAAAAATTCTAACTTGCTCACGTAAACACAATCCACATAAGGCATCTATTTACGCCGTTGCAGTATTTTTCCTCTGTTAGAAATCAAGAAAACTGAAATTTTCGTGCATTTGCTAAAGTGTTGCTGTGCCGTTCCCAAATAGGCAGTTGTATACTACAAACCTTTAGAAGTACAAACGTAAATTTCCAGCTGTCTACAAGCTTTAGTTCTCGAGAAATATCGAATACAGTTTTCCAGAGTCATGTGATCCAAACTAAAATTCAAATTTCTCGCGAACTAAAGCTTGTAGAGAGCTGGAAATTTACGTTTGTGCTTCTAAATGTTTGTAGTATACGATTACCCATGTGGGGACGGCACAGCATCACTTTAGCAAGTGCACGAACATTTCCGTTTTCTTGATTTCTAGCAGAGAAAAAATTAAGGCAACGGCGTATATAGATGCCTTATGTGGATTGTGTTTACGTGAGCAAGTTAGAATTTTTATAGGATTTTTATGAACTGAGTTACGATTTTTCCCAATTTTTCGGTCAGTTGAATCTTTTTAGTTTTTGGCTCGAAACTCGTGGTGGATCAGAGCTGTTGCTAAAGCAAGATAGCCATCTTGTAGAGCTTGCTTTGCCCTATCGAACGGTGCCTTGCAACCCATTCAAAAGTGAGGAATATACGACTTATTGTGGGTGGAAATCAAGACCTGCGTTAATTTCCGGACAACCTAATACAAGTTAATGGTACAAAATGCGCATTAAATTACTTTCTACTTTCTAAACGCACAGAGCGATTGCAAATATGCACTCATTTTTGTTGTTTTTATAAAAATCTAGCAGATATCTAGAAGCCTTTCAGAGTTTTCTAGTCGTAGAACCCTAATTTCACGCGTATAGGACCCGGGGGATTTTTTTTTCTAAACTTGAAGAGCACAGACGTTCCGAAGGACTTCGCGACAAAAAACTATTACAGTGCTGTATACTGCCTGCCTTTATCGTGCGGCATAAGTCTCGTTTTCCAAACAAACGAGGCGCTGAGCGTCACGCTCGAAAACAGAAAAAGGTGCGTCTCACACGCGTGAAATTATGGTATTCTTTCAATTGCTAAAATTGTGCATACACTGCAATTGAAATTTTCTCTCAATTATTTTGTACAAGAAACAAAATTTGTAATGAAAAATATGCTGCACAAATATCATTTATTGAAGTTGTTCCACTGTTTATCATGCTACCGCACTATTCAAGCCCTCCAACTGTCCCTTCGCATGCATAATTCAAATGTAATTTGCAAATAAGCATCGCATGACGCGGGCTTCGACATTACACTATATCATTCTGCTAGGTTTCTTAAAAACGTACGTGATGCTAACTTCTCTCTGGTTATTTGTCTCCCCAAGAAGATACATGCTGTTTGCATCACCTTGGTTATAATTTGATTTTTATTCAGCAAGGTTGTTTTCGACTGTTTCGAACTTATATTGTTGTAAGTTAACATTAATTTTGGACTTTCATATCTTACTCCTTGCGCAGTAGACCAATCTAAGGATACATTTTCTGCAAAGAGACCTCAAGGCAGTTTCCTTTTTGGGCACTACTAGCTTCAATAGACGTGATCAGTGCAACAGTAGCGTTTTTCACTGTTTGCATCACCTTGTTTATAATTTAATTTTTATTCAACAAGGTTCCATTCGATTGCTTTTCCCAAGATTCAATTATTGTACTCTGGGGTTTTTTATTTGGTCCTCGATTTCTAGTTTCCAGCCAGACAAGATAATTTGAATGGGACGGAGAAAGTGTAAGCAGTTGAGATTCGTAAGTAAAGCTTCCAAAAACAATTGTGAGAAGGTTAGCAAACGAATGGTGCAGGACTCTGCTTTCATCTACAAGGGAATGAATGTGACTCGTAACGGCCTCTTTTATTGCGATGTACTTGCCCTTAGGTTTTGCATTTTTGCCTCTGATCTCTCTCTTTGAATAAAACACAATCAAATATCGGCGCTATGTACATTACAAAGCGAGTTACAAATCTGCACAAGCCAATTACTTTTGAGTGACAAAGCGGAAGAAGTCTACGTGCCAAAGGCTGGCCAATTTCAAGACCTTACGGATTTTTTTTTTGAAAAAAATGAAACCATATTCAACATGAATTACTTTGAAAGGATTGGAGTCAAAACTATAAACGAACTGGTGCTAGAGGCTGATTACTACGCTTTTTTGGAAAAGAGTTATAAGTTGAATGTGTTATGGAGCTCTCAAGAAGAGGGAGTCAAATGCGTCAACGCTGCTTTGGGAATCCGTCAATGCCAAATGATCGGGACTCTTGGAATTTGCCAAGTTTTCGCACAATGAGGTAATTTGACCTGCTAAACACGAATACCATATCAACTTGTTGTCGGGTTAAAAATCATACCACGGATTTTTTGTGAATAAGAAAACAACCCAAAAAGCAAAATAAATATCATCTTCAGTGACTTGGACCAAGTTTCGGCTAGACCTGATAATTTCTTTTCTTGTCCTTCCATAAATATCTCTTCCGCTCAACTAATATTCATATGCTATCCTAAAATTTGGCGGAACCTCCGCTTTCGTAACTGGCATCATAATCGTAATAAAAACAATTGAATGCGCAACATTAAGCGGGCAAAAGCTATATAACGTTGCATTGATTGTTAACCAAATTTGACAACTAAGTGGCCCTAAAAGTTAGTTCAACATGCCTCTTAATTTAAGAGCCATAAAAATAAGTTGTAGAGCATAAAACGCTCATTACTTTTGCATTAAGAAACTATGAAAGCAATACCTGAAAGAGTAAAATGTTTGACAAGCTTAACACTTATTGCCAGTGAGGCCATCGAAACGGGGAAAAGTTCACAAAGTGGTGCAAAATGATGATATCTGTGATGTAGAAAGTTAAGTATCTCAGAGAAACTTATAGAAAGTTCTTACCTCTGCCAGCCTGTAATAATGAAACCTTGGAATTTGATGAGATCACTATGTTCTAGTGCTTGCTGGTACCTAATTGAGGCATTTTTAATATTTTCTAATTTTTTGAATTTTATCAAAAAAAGTTGCCAGCAGCTCTTGGAAAGGAAAGATATTTTGAGAAAGCTGTCAAAAGCAGTTTTTTGGAGATCAGTTTAGGCAGAGTATTACCCTCTGCCTCTTGCTTCTACTTTTCCCAACTTCGAACATATAACTGGACTGACCATGCCTTGTTGTTTTCCAAATAATGCTTCACATAATTCCAATAACGATTCGGTCCATCAGCACCTGAGAAACTTTGCTGAAGTTGTTACACCCACGGTCTTTACGTCATTTCACCGCACTTAGACGGATAAAAGATGAAAGATTTAATAGTCAAAAAGTCTCCCAAATTTCTAATATTAATTAGGTATCCGAATCACACAGTAGTATAGTTCTGTGCTTGGTGTAATTCTGCTTGAAGGCAGCGGCTTGGCAGAATGACAACTTTGGGATATTCATCGTTTTAGGTTCCCCTGGACGAGCTGAGTCCAAGATTGTTCTTTGCAGCTTCGAAAAATATCAATAAATCGCTTTTCCAGACGAGAAAAATGCTATTAGGGCGGACCGCGTAACCTGCTCTCTAGGACGCGATTGGCTTGTGAGTAGAGACACCTACCTACCGTAACCAAGAGCCAATCGCGTTCGAGGGCAGACATACGCCTTCCGCCCAAATGGCACTTTCACTTCTGGAAAAGAGGGTGATACCTTTTGAAGTTGCAAAGCACAGTCTTGGACTTAGTTCATCCAGGGGAACCAAGAACGATGAATATCCCAGATTCGTTCTGCCGAGGCTCTGCTTTTAACAGATCTATTCGGTGAAGAATGTAAAGAAGCACAATGGGCATTGCTCATAAAAGTTTCATCCTGCTTTACTGAGGTAAATACCGAACCTACCTTTGAAGGCACTAGCTCCCCATACAGAAGAGAATGAACGGGCAAGCTGCTTCCATTTGTACTTCGGAAGTTTCTGGAACATTTACAAATAAGGAAAACACTTAGCCATTTCTTCAAATCAATTCACAAACCGTAGCCAAATCGGGCTGGTAATACCAAACTACAGGGGTTACGAGTCGGTCTAAATCATATTGTTTTACCAATGTGTCATTAACATTCTCGAACTCGTCGTGCCAGATGATCACCTGAACCTTTTCACTTTTTGACTTGTACCACAAAGACTCATAATTTTTCGATAAAATAGCATAACATGCTCACCTTTGTTTGCGGATATTGTAGAGTAATATTCTTAGCAACCTTTTTTAAGTAATCAAAGACCAAACGTTTTTTGTTATTAGCGTAATTGGGTAGGATCCTGAGATCAGCAGGACATTCCCCCATCTGAAAAGCATGGTTATTCAAGTTAGGGTGCAAGATAAAGGATTGCTCTCACGATGTAGGCTTCATCGGCTCCAATATGTACGTACGGCATGCCTACTTCGGAGTGTAGTTTCATTACCTAAATGGAAAAATTTAGTATGATTGCGAATATTTCATATTCAAGGAGAGAGGATGAAAGTTCGAAAACACAGTCTAGACAAATCTGAGGTAAGCGAGATTTTGCGGGTACAATAGCGACAGCTAATGGGTAGTATGTACCTCTGCAAAAGATAAATTCTGAAGATGTAAAAGTACAATAAAGTTCATTCTTCTGATATATTGTGTCAAGAATCTATTTTCTCACTATAAACGGTGTCCGTTACATCTGGGTGCTTCGGGTTTATCACTTGCAAGTTAACGATGTTGACAAGCGGAGCAACTCATCTACTTTTCGACAACTGTCTCACTTTGGAGTTTATCTTCTACATCAGGACTTAAACAAGAGTCCCACTTCTGTCTACAGAAACCTTAACGACCTCCAAAATGGCTGCATCATAGAAAAGTTAGCTTATGAAGTAGGGTTCTGATCCAAAGGACATAGCAGACCTTGAATGCTCATGATCTCGAAAAGCTCGAAAAAGTCATGGTGATATCGTCATGTTTGATCTTCTGTTAAGTGTAAATTCCATACCTGGTTTAAGGAATCCAAAATCAGTTCCACGACCCTGTCGTCGCCTATACATGCAACCTAAATAGACCTCTTCAAGCAAATGATAGCAAATGATAGCAAATTATATGAGTGGTAAGTGAGCATGTTGACTACGAATATAATGCTTATCAAGAATCGATAATCAATTCTACCTTTTCGCAAATTCTAACCTACAGATCTGAGAGTTGGCATAAGGAAAGTGAATGGGCAAGTTAGTTATGCATATCTTTCTACTTTTATCAGCTTTCTAGTCTTTTGCAAACTTCAAGCTACGGGTTCTAGAGTTGAAACAGAGGTTTAATTGAACATGCTGATTACTGATGTGATAACTTAAGAAAAATATTCATTGCTTTTGATAATTTTTCCGTTTGGAAACTTAAGTTACAGGTCAGGGTTGGCACGGGAGAGGGTAGGAGGGGGAGGGGAGAGAAGGAATGACTTGCTACAATCTTGGTTTACAAAATTATCGACTACGTTCATCAATTTTGCGGGTTCTTTTTCGCAAACTTTGAGCTGCGTTCTGAGTGTTAGCACTAAGGGGGGGGGGAGGGTAACTGGGTGTATATGAAGATGCGCGATTCTTAGTGCCAGATGGGCAGCTTATAGCACATATTTAGTGTTTTACAAAGTTCTAGAATCACTTAAAATCTCAAACATATTTTTGAAATAAATTTTGAATTTGAAATATTTTTTATAATTGCGCGGGTTCCTTCACCTCATCATTCTAAATTCGAGTCTACACCAAATTGTTGAAGGTCAAAAACGCTTGAAAATGCAGTATAGCAATTGTAAATAATCCAGTCAGTCTATCAGCAGAAGTCGTCAAACTTATCAAGTGGTAGCTTCAAAACAGTTAGTAAGCCATGGAGTTTGTCCGGCATTTTTTGAACCCTCATATAGCCCGAGACTGGAGTTTTAAGTTGGTGACAGCCAGAAAAATCGCGCCTCTTGACCGTCTTCCAGGATAACTGAGCATGCTCATTAGAATACAATAACATATAAAAATAAACAATACATTTATTGATTTCACAGATTTTTTACTCTAGATACAGGGCTGGGAGTTGACGCAGAGGTGAGCACCCTTGTTACGAAATCACTACAATTTAGAAAAACCTCGCATTTGTAATTTTTGTCGCTTTTTCGCAATTTTTAGCTGGTGCAGTGGAACGTGGAACAAAAGGAGAAGTGCGCTATACCTGTGGAAACGCGGTGGGCATGGTTTTGGCGTACAAAAGCCTGACTCAAGTATTGATATATCAAGGTAAGGCGAAACGGTGAGCTCCGTCATGTTAGGCTGACAGGAGCCAATCAACGACCCCCTATCTAGCTTTTCATAAAATATCTAACAATATTACAGGGTGTCCCAAAAGTACACACTTTTCAATCGTCAATATCTCTCTTCCCAATGGGTCTTTTTTTGCCGGTCAAGTACAGTATCAAGCGAATCACCGATCGGTTTTCATTACTGTAGGATTACGGTGGGAACTTCCAGCAAGTGAAACCATTGTAAATATGCCATCTGGCATAATTTTTGAAAAAAAAATCTGAAAAATCGTGCACTAGGGTTTTTGCGCACTCTGATTCCATTGCACAACTTTTTATGAATGTTTTCAGCTTTTTTGACGGTTTATTTACATTTCTGACAAATACTGGGAATTCGGTTATTAAGGTTTTCTTGGGATAACTTTGGAAAGAAGCATCACAGTAAAGTGGAAAATTCATATTCGAAATCACCGGCTTCCGTTACTAGTGTAAGAGTTTTTGGTTGTTTAATTTTGTTCCGAGGCAGAATATGGCTCCAATGGTCTAAAATCCTTGTCGAAGTTTCTAAAGTAATCCTACAGTAATGAAGAGCGATCGGTGATTTGCTCGGTACTGTAAATCCAATTGTAAGTTAAAGCCTCCTTTGCAGGATGTTGCTTACAAGGAAACGATACTCAATGTCAGTGACCTTTTGAGATGAGATGCGTACCGTTACACTCGTGTTCGAAGGCTGATTCCGAATCTGACTTGCGTTTCTGCTAATCGTTTCTCTGAAAGAAGTTATAGCGAATTTTGAGCCAAGTGGCCGCCCAAAGAAATATAGTCATGACGGGCTCTACTGCGGCCACTTTTGGTCTAGTAAATAGTGTGATAGCTTCATAAGTTGACGCAAGTGTAGGTTCAAATCCTTTTGTATTTTTACCTTTGCACTGCCTCACAGTTCGAGAAAATTCACTTGAATTATGATCATTGGATACATTTTAACGCAAACAGTAATCATTTATTTCGAATTTAGACATTTTTTGAAGAGTAAGGGCGTCCACTTAGCTCGAGGATGCGAAAGAAGGTTAATTGAGACAACGCAAAACTGAAAAACACAAAGGGATTCGAGCCTACGCCTACATCGACTCATGAGCCTATCGCACTAACCACTAGACCACAGCGCAACGTTAGTGTTGGCGCTCTGACCCTATCTTTCACTGGGCTGCCAAACTCCGCACGATCCAACATAAAATCTTTGAAGCGATTAGCAGAAACGGAAGTCAGATTTGGAATCAGCCTTCAAAGACGAGTGTAATGGTATACATTTCACCTCAAAAGGCCACGGACACCGAGTATCGTTCCCTTGTTAGATGTCGGACAAAGACACAATGGGAAGAGAGATACTAACGACTGAAAAATGTGTACTTATTTTTGGGACAGCCCGTATTTAGGTTAGAGCATTCCTGCTTATGTGTGCAACGTACAATTTTAGGATGTTGTCTATGGGATGCACGTTTCCCAATTTCAGGAGCGTATCATGGCACATGAACATTACGTTTGTTAGACATAGCTATGCAATAAGGAATACTAACGCAAAATAAACAATGTCTGAGCTGGCCAGCGCCATCCGAAAAATGTACAGTAGCGCTGATCAACAATGAAACCTATTAGAGTTGACAGAATGAGAAAAAACTCAACGGCCCGTAGTAATGCTGCCTCATTCGATCTCAACTGAGGAAAGCTTCAGTTGAGGCTTCAACGAGTCAGCTCTGTCTCATTTGAGCCGTTGATTGCTGATTCCAACCATCCACATTGATATGTTTGAAGTAGCACACTATTTCGGGAGATCACCGCTCGGATCATTCATCTCCGATGACTCGCTAAGGAGATTATCTCCCTGCCGAACCTGACCTGAGGCTCACATATCAGGTGAAGTTGTATAGCATGGGGAAGTGGGCGTCGTCATTTCACCTGACCGAACCTCACATAAGGGCCTTAGGCCTCAGGGGAGATCGTCTCTCCTGACCGAGCTTTACTACTGGCCAATATGATAAAATCAGTCATTCCTTCTTAACGAAACTTACCAAGGGATAGTCTGGATTCTCGCAGAACTCTGCGAAGTTTTTTGTTTTGAGTATCCATTCAAGATGTCCAATTGTTTGTACAAGTGGGATCACCGATAGTTTGAGCGACTTGGCACTGAAATAACTATTTCAAGAACTGTTCAGGAGATATGATTTTGACTGGTAAATTACTGTCGTAGAATGTCCAGAGCTTCGTCGTGAGTATATGCATTACCATTTTTGATCTCACCAAGTGCACCTTCATACGGAAACATGTCCTAGAAAGATCTTTATGTTTCTTTTTGTAAGATTATTTGTTTACAAGTCTGATATTCTGGAAAAAACGCTCATATATTAATTTGAACAGAATGCACTGTCGCTTTGATTTTCAATTTGTATATGCTTTCCATGTGAATTCACCACAAAAAATTTTGTAAAAAAGGAACTTCTTTTTTTCGAATGAAATTTTGCGGCTTTTTTGTAGGCAAAAAACTCAAAAGGTGAAAATCAGGGAAGGCGGACCACTCCAGCTCCCGATTCTCGAATTGATTCGTCGAAAGTTCAAACGCCACAGAAAGCATGTTCGTTAGGATCTTTCTCTAGAACAAATCAAGTTTGCGCTAATCGACCGAAGTTACGATTTTAGAGTGAAAAGGAGAAAAATGCAAAAAAAAATTTTTTTGTGTTTTTCTCGAAAATCACAATCTTTCAACGAAAGCTCGATCAGCGCAAACTTGGCACTCTTTTAATGAGCAGCTCACGAAGACCTCATGGAACATGCTCCCAAATTTTTCTGCAGCTTTATAGATTGCTGACGATTTATTAGGTCGTTCCAAAGTAATGTCGCTTTTTTCAAACGTACGCCACATCTCGTGGAACAAAGATATGTAAGAGATTCTGGAAGCATTTGATGCAGCATTTCATTCTCTTTCTAATGGTTATATAAACACTGCTTAAAACTCAATAAGCTTTCCATAAATCAAAATCTGCAACCTATGCTTTTTGAGAAGGCCAAGTTTCACAATTTTTCTAAATCTTTATAACAACCACTGGAAGGAGTCCAAGTAATGGTTAGATAAAGCAAACCCTACAGGAAACAGCACAGCTTTTTTCTACTTTCCTGAATTCGTCATAATTTTCTAAAAAATTTTTGATGGAACCACCGCATTTTAGCAGGCTCGTCTCAAAAAAAGAGCATCAAACACCAATAGATCTTCGGATTTTGAAACTTACAAAGATAAATTATGGTTTGACACTAAGTTTAGTAACCAAACGAGCGTTCACCGCTTCAGATTAGCAATTTTCGAGAATTTCGGGTACAGCCTGAAGCGCCCTGGAAATCCTGAATTATGATGATTTTATCCGAAAACTTGATGAATCGGAAACAAAAAACAATCAATAGAAAGAGGGAAAAAAACTGCGTCGAATGACACCCGAGTTGCTTGCCGGTTATTGTTCTACAGGGTGTCCGTAAAGTATGTATACACTGTTTGATCATCAATATCTTTCTTCCCTACAAGTCTTTTGCCTTGCTTCAAGTACCGTTTTGTAGAGCTGGCTTCAACTTAGATTTACAGTATGAAGCAAATTACCGATCGATCTTCACTATTGTAAGATTACGGTAGAAACTTGAAACATATGGTGTCAATGTGGAAAAAGCTGTCTCCTCTAAACTTTTTTAAAAAATGTGAAAAGTTGTGTAATAGGGTTTTTATGGACGCTGAATTCAATGCTTAACTGTTTACAAGATTACGAAGCTTTCTAAACGGTGTAACTGCACTTTTTAGAAACATTGAAAAAATGGCCGCTACCTCTTACCCGGTATAACTCAATGAAGCATCATAAGAAGTTGAGAACTTTACAGTTAAAATCAACAAGTCTAATTAGCCCCAATAAAAACTTTCAGGCTGTTTTGTTTCCTTTCTGAGGCAAAATATGGCCTTTTATGGCTCAAAACCCTCTTTGAAGTTTCTACCGTAGTCCTACAGTAATGAAGAGACATGGGTGATTCGATACTGCAAATCTAAGTTGAAGCCAGCTCTACAAAAGGGTACCTGAAGCAAGGCAAAAGCCTTGTTGGGAAGAAAGATATCAACGATCAAACAGTGTATACATACTTTACGGACACCCTGTATAAGGTTTGAGTTGACCAAATATGCAATTTGATAGCAGCTTCAAAAAATGATTCCAGAAACTCTAAAACCAAGCTAAGGAAAAGAAAGAAATTGCTTTGTGTCCTATAGAGTTTGCTTTATCTACCTGTCACTTGTGCTTCTTCGGAGAGTAAGTACAAAAATTTAGAAAAATAGCAGAGCTCGACCATGGCAGAAAGCATGAGTCGCAGATTTCGGTAATTTTTCGAGAGCTGATAGAATATTATGCCATGAAATTACAACTATTAGAAAGAGGATGAAATGCTGCAGCGAATGCTCTTAAGATCTATTGAAAATCTTGATTCTTTGAAATGTGGCGTTCATTTGAAAAAAGCGACATTACTTTCGGAACGATCTAATATTTTCGTTGAAAGTTAGATTGGTTTGTGCTTAGTTTTTATTCCTGGAGATCCCCGTCGTTAGTAAGCCGCAAAAAATTCGGAAAAAGATAGATTTTTCTTTCTGATAATTTTTTCACAAGCAAATAGGTTAACATAGGGAGCGCATACAAATTTTTCAATATCAAAGAGACAGATTCGGTCCAACCTAATATCTGAAATCACTAGGAACCTGGCTAAATTTGTCTTTAGCTACGGCGTAATATCTCAAAGCAGTTGTTGATTCTTGTCTGTGCAAAGTTTGCAACCTCATACATCTACTGACATGCATCACTATTTTGATGCTGATACCCTGCTCGAATTGGTATTATCTTGTTATCCCAGCACATTTCCTGTGCAGTTACAAATCAGGAGTACTTATACATTGAAGAGCAAGTGTTCGCACAAGAAAAACTTAAGTCGGAAGATATTGCGCCGCCACTAAGGCCAGCAGATTTTAAGTCAGGGCTTTGAGCTGATTCCAGAAATATATGTATACCTCTTTCCAAGAGTGCCGACTAACAAAAAAATGCTCAATAGTTGAAGGGGTCAATTACAACCCAAATCCACAGCGATCCCCTACAGAAGGTTTTTGTGACAACTCGCACAAAAAGTAGGAAGTCAACAAAAATGTTATGCTGACCGGATGACGCAGTGGTGGGTGAAGAACTAGCTTTGAATAGTTTACTTCCCTTGCCTTGAGACAACACTTAAAAAAAGACGCAATCTCTGGATGCATTGAGTTGAAATGCTATTCTGCGCAGTGTTTCCTCTTTCTCTGCATATAAAGGGTCCATTCCAATTTCGATTTGTTGAACACTATAAAGATCAAAAGATAAAATCTGTTTCAACACGGATCTCTACTTTTAATACCCTAAAGTCTTACAGGTAAGTCGGCTTTTTTGAAAAGAAAAATCGATGAAAATGCACCCTTGCAAGCCAAGAATCTTGCAGATAAGTCTTCCCATCAGAGAAGTCCGTCTAGATAAGTGCGGATTATCTGACAGTCTCCGGACTTATCAGAAAAGATTTAAGGGTAGTTACAATGGGAAGAAAGCGGTTTATTTGAAGGCGGACTTATCTGTAAACAGACTTATCTGATGGGAGGACCTTGTGTGAGATTTTAGGGTAAATACGATTGTATCGTCGAATCGGTGAGCATAGACTAAACATCATTGCGAGTACGAGGGATGCGGTGCAGGAGGAACCAAAGGCCTGCCGCCTGTACCCACAGGAGATAATTAAGAGCGCGAGCTCTGTGGAGAAGATTTTGGCAAAGATCCAGATAAACTTGGCAAGGAGATCCTTTGGAAACAAACTCTTATAACTCCGCTTGGGAATAACTTTGTAAAATCTGAAAAAAAGAGTTGGAATCAGCACTGAAAGGCGCGTTTTTCAGTACACGCCTACGCGGTAAACAAACAACTATATCTTGCTATTCTAGCTCAATTTTCTCAAAAGATTATTGAGGTGATCTGAAGACTTTGAGAATTACTGGAGAATTTGAGTCAGTGATGAAAAGTTTTGATCAAAAAAAATGGTACTAGAGTAAGTTTGAAGTTATGAGACAATCTGCGTATGAAGTTATGAGACAATCTGCACTTCGCATCTTCATGGAACTCTCCAGATTTATTATTATGACATTTTGATTACAATTTGACTTGAGGTGAACTGAGTTCTAATCTTTTTAATTAGTTCGAGAAAAAAAGAATAGATTTTAAATGGACCCTATTCCCAATCTTTGAAACTTCGAATTTCATCAGACATTTCTATAAGAAAATTAGTTTTTCCGATTACCAAAGTTCCAAAAACTGACTTACTTTTGCGTTCAATGAATGCGTCTTCCATATTCTATAGCAAATCTGTTTCTCAAAATTTCCAAAGTTATTTCCAAGCAAAGTCACAGGAGTTTGTTTTCAAAGGGTATCTTGCCAAGTTTTTATGAATCTCTGCCAAAATCTTCTTCACTGCGCTCGCGCTCTTGATTATCTCCCGCGAATACAGGCGGCAACCCTTTGGTTCCTCCTGCACCACCCCAGCACGAGCCGCCAGGTAGGACGCTTGCCTCTGTACAATTCGTCGTTGTACTAGTCGTACTCTGTTAACATTTTTGCCTCGCCGCGGTAGTCCGCAACTTCAGAGCAGTCCATGTGGTCAAAGAATCGAGGGTAGTAACCTTTAATTCAACTGGCTTGGCTCCGGGAAGGCGGAGCTTTGTGTCTTGATTAAGGCCACTCGCGCGCGACGCACCTGCGCCTCTCGCGCGAGTGCTCTCTGATCATTGCCTAGCCTAATTAGGTCACGAAGCCCCGCCTTCCCGAAGCCAAACCAGTTCAAACAAATGTTACATCACAGAAGAAAAGTTGGCAAAACTGATTGAACTTGTCACCACCACTTACTATTTTGCATTACTACAGGGTGCGGCAAAAGTCTGGGAGCCTAACTTGCAGTATTGCAATTAGAAAGGTACCGGCGGTTTTGATTAATTTTATGCCACATGATGCTGCGGTCATCTTCTACAAAATACACTTTATTTGGCTGGAAGTGGCTGCCATATGTTTTTATAAGATTGGAAATTACCAAACTAGTACTTTTGCAAAGCGAAAAAACCAGAATTTTTAGTATTTACTATTTTTTAAAGCTAGATATGCTGTTAGTATTCTACGACACTTCGATGCACGCAATATAGAAGAGGCTTTGCGCTATTGGATCGTAGTTTTGCTTTTTCCAGGAGTTGTTCTTGCA